CTCTGTCTGGTTCGGTTGTTGTACCTTACTAAACCCAACTCGGCTGACCCTTAAAGACAGGTGCACAGCAGCCCGGCTCCTATTTTATTTTATTAATGGAGTCTCTGTTTATTCTCAACAGCATCAGCAGTGTAATTAATTGTTATGCTCTTCACTGTTGCACTGAGAAGATTATTAATTCCTGCTTCGAGTATTTTTTTTTTAAAGTTTGAATTTTGCCGGGATGGCGGCCTAAGCCTTATACTATACACTGTGATTATACTCTTATTGATTTTGGACCACCAAGGGATCTTTAATTAACGTGCGCAATTTGCACATGGGACCACCGAGATTTTTCGATAGGCCTATTAACCAAGAAGGCTAGGTGTTAGATACAGTACTAAGGAGCTAAAGTAGAAAGGCAGCAGAAAGAGTCAGGAGCCCAGAGGAGGGGGCAAGGGGGAAGGGGAAGCGGGCAGAAAGTGGAGACGAAAGCAGACGACAGAACAAGGTTTGAAAGCAGGAAAAGTGAAAGGAGACAGAAAAAAATCCCGTCACTGTCAGATTTCCAATCCAGGACTTTTATTGAATGAGAGGCGAACACCCTAACACATATACCAAAAGAACCCCCTAGTTTAACATAGTAAACGTTTTTACAGCACACACAACACAATTAGGTCGTATAAAATGCCAAAGATTAGAGGTGTTACAAGAGAGTAACAAACATAAAGGCGAAAGACGCTTGGTAGGAAAGATGGAGCAAATCACACCAGAGTACCCATCAATCACCCACTCTAAAATTAATCAGCAATTATTTTATTGAGCATCTCCTTCTTTCTACAGAGAAGCTGTATATCCCACCCAGCCCAAACAGCCCTCGATCGGTAGGCCGAAGCAGTCTGCCTCCTAATTTATCTACTTGGTGTTGATGTAGACACAATATGAAACATTTACAATCATTGCAAAATCATACAATTGACAAATCATTCTACAGCTGACTAGAAGCATTAATTGGGTTGTGAATACATGATTAACTAAAGTGATTGAACAAAAAAGGCTTATTGATAAAAACAGTTTATTTTAATCAAAGAAATATCACAGAAAACACCCATTTTCTTTTAGTTTTAGTTATAAGTGCAATCTTAAGCTCACAGCTTGAGGGATGTGCTACACTCAATAAACAAGAATTTTCCTCAAATAACTTCATGCATGGGTAACTTCAGAAAATCTAATCAACATGAACAAACATGACCCACTATACGCATTCAATAAATATATTATATAGCAGAAATCATCCATCAAAACAAGACTTGCTCTGACAATAGAAAATGTACTCTACTTATCACAAGGGTCTTGCTGTCAAGTAAAAGCAACAGACAATACAAAAAAAGATAACAGTTGGCCTGGATAAAGGTCTAGTGGAGGTCTCTGTTTGGAACAAAACTTACTTGACCTACCCCACAGTCCTACATCTCCCCTTTCTGTGGGGCAAACATGGAGCTAGCCTTTATGTCATGCGCTACAGATGATGACTACTCATTTTGAGAAGGAAGACCTCCAATAGATCTTTATCGCTGCCACGTTAGGTATTAACTATTCTTATCCAGGCTATGACTATGAGCATATAATCGACTCATTCAGTTTCTGGTTCAAGTTCCAGAAATACTCATAACACAACAGGCATAGATAATTGTCTATACCTATTTATATATAAAAGAGCCCAGCATTAAAATATGGATGGGCAGCTACACAGAGCATTTGTCAAATATTTGGGGTTGGGGTGTTTTTTTAAAGCTTCCAACTCAGAAAGTTCTTGACAAAATAGTGCTCAATTTTGAAGGTAAGGCAGACGATTTACATTCAAATAATCATTAAACAAGTATTGAAAGTTCCGTTGAGAAAGATTTTAAACTTGATTCTGAATTTGTCAAACATAAACCTAGCCTAGGAACAGGGCTGCCGTCATAGGGTAAAACAACAAATTGTGGTCCAGTGCTGGTTGCAGGGCAAACTATTCAGGGGAAGCAATAATGTTCTTTTTTTTTCTTTGCAACACCTCAGGGACTTGATCTTGCTTTCACATTGGTGGCATTATGGTTTTTCTTGAGAAAATCAAACCTTTTGAGTTCTCCATCTTTGCGCGATTTCTTATAAAAAAAACATCTGCCTGAACCTTCGCTAACATTCGAGGTGAACAATGGCATTCAGGCAGGCTACAGTCAGCGCGCTTTGTTTCCCTTCATTTTTGGGGGGGTGGAACATGTGAAGTTGGCCAAAAAGTTGAACACATTGTAGTCACTTTCCAGATCATATGTGTTATTCAAACACACATTTTCGACAGCTTGATTTAAAACTGTTTCATTTGTCATTTCCTCTCCATGAGCTTTCTGTGTTGTCTTCTTCAGAAGCTGGTTTTATTTTTTCTTTCGCTAAAGGCAAAATTCTACCAGCTCTATTCAAGGGATCCATTGTGTTGTCAGTATGGTGGAATCATTGAGGTCAAAGTCAAACTTTCATTTTAAAAAAGCAGCAACCTGACTAGACTGTATTGCAAACGCTACTGGGAGAAATAATGCTACACTTTGTACAGTACCATTTGTATTTAAAGGCTCCAGTTGATGGGGAAACTACAAATTGTTGTTTCATATCACCAAAATGAGACAAGGATAGTTTGATTTGCCAGACATAGTTATAATCAATTGTGACATCAAGTCATAAAGAAATTGAAAAGCAAGATTAAATATAACCACAATACATCTATTTCAGAGGTTTGACAAAAAAGAAACTTACTCTCATAACGTAGTGGGATCATTTTGTCAGAAAGCCAGTAAATCTATAATGCAGACCAATGACAATGTGTCAGACACACTCAGACTGTGACACAGTAGCCATCGTTGCGAGGTCAAATGACTTGACAACAAACTCAGACGACGTCAATCGGTGAACATCTGGCAGACTCTTAAGTGCTTAAGCAGTGCTAACGGTCAGAAATTTTATATGAAAAAAAAACAACTTTTGCTCAATAAAAACCATTATCAATTTGGACCCCCCCCCCCAGAAAAAGTCCCTTCTGTTTTCCCTTCCCTCCAGTCTGCTTTTACTCATCAAATTCCTTGCTCCTGTCAATATTCGCTGTCAGAATACCGTACCTGAAGAAAGACAAAATTATACATAGTGATATATTTGTATGATCCTGGTCGGTTGTACTCAGTGGGTGTTTGTTTGTGAACAAGGTTGAGTATGTTTGTATTGTTGCGACAGGTGACCAATAATTACCATTCGTTGCCCACGACATATTAGCCCTCGGCGCAATCTCAGCGCAATCCAGCAATATAGGGACAATGTCAAATGAGTAATGATCCTTGACCGATCGACTATTCGTCGTTTTCCCTTACACTGTGCTCTGGTCTGGAGCTTGCAAGCATAAGAGAAAGTACGAACTCTCAACTACAAAGCAACAGGTTAGCATATGACACAAATTTTAATACCATCGGGTGCAAAATTAAATATTCTACGAAACATGTAAAAATCAAATATTAGAAAAATTTGGACCATTTATCATTTTCCCTTACACAGGCAGAGGAATGGCTCTAGTGCAAGAAAGAATAGGGGGAGGGGGGTGAGGCACAATTAAATCCTAAATTTCACACAGTAAATGAAATCTTGTCATTTAACAATTAAAGCCTTTGAAAAAGCAAACATATAAAAGTACATTTGATTCTACAAATAAATTCACACATGAATAACAGCACTTTAAAATGCACATCCTAAATTTCTCATCATTTGCAGATTTTAGTTTTAGTAAAGTTTTTACAGTGTTTGCAACTGCGTAAGGGCATATGAGCGCAAGGGGTGGATGTCAACAGAGGAGTCTTTACTCTGCTCATCTCTCTAACTTCAACAGCACGAAGTCTGCATTGACTATCAAGGCACCCGAGAAATAGCAGGTCACAAGAGAGTGACAAACATACAAAAGAAGTAGAGGAAAAATGATGATAGTAAGGATTGGGAAAGAAAAAGCAGCAGTTCCCTTTTGCAGTTCAGGAAATGTTATGAGCATGACATTGATGAGTCAGCCCATTTACAATTCTACTGTGTATAAGAACATATTGATGTCCCCCCTTTGGGAAAGGCTTAAAGACACTTCAATCAGTAGCACTGCCCCGGGGGGTATCATTTGCAGAGGCAGCATGGTTGGGAGAAAAATTATCAAAAATATGCTCACAATGGCATATGTGGCCAACAACTCAGAGATAAGTAAAGCCTAGACAAAGAAAATGGGTGATGAAAAGCATAAAAGAATCAAAATAACACTGTGGCTTTTTGGGACCAACATAATGAACTATACATTCCAAGGACCAACATAATGAACTATACATTCCAAGGACCAACATAATGAACTATACATTCCAAGGACCAACATAATGAACTATGGAGTCTTAGTATCAACATAATGAATTATACATTCCAGGGACCAACATAATAAAATAAACCATGGAGTCCAGGGACCTTTATAATGAGTCACATAATGCACTATGGAGTCCAGGGACCTATAAATGAGTCACATAATGCACTATGGAGTCCAGGGACCTATAAATGAGTCACATAATGCACTATGGAGTCCAGGGACCAAAATAATGAACTATGGAGGCATAGGTAAAAAAAAGAACTCTCTTCCCTGCTGCTTAACAATTTAAAGTCACACAGCCAGCAGTACAAAATACCCCATCTCGTCACCCAGTCAGGAGGGTGACTGCAATGTGCTTCTTGGACCTGGCACAGACCTGCACCAGGTGACCCGAACGGATCATTTTCACCAACGCATTATTATGCGCCAAGTGACCGCAAAGAGTTAAATATCCAAATCACAGCCTCTATAGCTTCAGAGCTTGTTTAAGAAATCATAGCTTTTCACAAAATGATGTTTCACCCTTACTGCAAAAGAAAGGGAAACACAGCTGAAGACGCTCTGTATTCACAGGTAATCAATGTGCTCATGGTACAACAGAACTGAATGGAATAGCTAAGATTAAACATCACTTTCTGGGGTCTCCCGTGGAGAGGCCTCTGGCACATTGTAGCTCAGTTCTTCAGTGAGCACTCTGAAAGGTAAACAATCAATGGTTAACTCAATAAGGACACATATCATATGTGAGGCATTGTGGTGGAATCAGGCTCTCGTCAATTTTTGGGCATGTGGAGTTATTGGTATCATCTGAAAGCTTGTTCACTTGTCTTTATTTGGTTGAAAAAAATATCCATTTGTCTTGAATACAAGTCGAGATATTTATGAATGAAGGAGGTGGGGGTCGCCTGTTTTCAGAGGTAAAATTAGTGAGAAAATGGCCGCCAAAGATTAGTTATTTCCCTAGCTTAAGAGTCCGTGGTAACTAAAAATTTACATTTTTTGTGCCTTTAACCAACGTTTTTCAGAAAAACCCTCACAGAAATGAGTTCTTTAATGGGCATGAAAGGTGTAGAGCCAAAAAACTAAAAGTCGATAAAAATCCACAAACCTGCAGAAAAATGCAAGTTACTTCACTTTAATTATTTTGACGAGAGCCTGATTCCACCACGCTGCCTCACATACGTCCGACCAGCAGACCAAATTCAAAGCTGAGGCATATTTCAAACCATCCTATAAAAATTAAAAACACATACTTTATTGCATTACTTGAAAGCATGTGTTTGTTATTACCTTCCTTTTTAAGTTTCAGATAATAAATAAGACAAATACTTGTATGAAAAAAGAAGTTACTGTTTCTTTTCTAAAGTGACCCAATGTTCGTCTTCAAGGTTGTTCAATTACTAGAAAATGCGTTTTAAGCAAGTTAATGAAGGTGTCAAGTAGTCTAAGCCTCCACATGCTCGTCTGCCTTCGTTATTTCTGGTGCAGAATAGTTAACAGGCATCTCTTCATTTTCAGACATGACACAACCCAATCAGATGTTTTCGATGCAACTGGCAATAGGTCAATAAACTCAGAGGTAGGTAAAGCCTAGACAAAAAAACGGGTGATGAAAAGCATAAAAAGAATTGAAATAACACACTGTGGCTTTTAGGAACCAACATAATGAACTATACATCCCAGGAACCAAAATATTGAACTATACATCCCAGGGGCCAATATAACAAGCCATGAAATCCGGGGACCAACATGATGAACAACGTAATGAACTATGGAGTCCAGTGACATTCCTCACCCATACAGACATACACACACACAGAAACACAAACATCCATCTACAACACTCCAGCAATTTGTCCCATGCTGGGTTTTAGTCAATTAACTATTCAGTAAAGACTGCAGAAGCCCAAACTCTGCTTACTTTGTCTAGTCAGGCTTCCTAACGTTGTAGACTTGTGTTAAATGTTGAAACAGGAGAAACGCAATCCATGAGGTCATAATTATGAGGATGTGTTACGGAAAAACTTGATAAAGATTTCTTTTTAAAATGGTTTATGTCTTCATTCCCATTGTAACAATTTAGCTCATTAAGTAGGCGGGCTACTTCAACTCGACTTTCAAGACCTACACAAACAGTTTTGACATGCAGAAACTCAGCAAGAAGAGAGAAATACTCGATAAAATAGGCATACTTGCTTGGCAATTGAATTCACATTTCAAGTTTGTAACGCCTCAGTGCATCTCCATCACACTAAACACTCTGGTGGAGTCTTGGCATTTACTTTGAACTTGTAAACTTGAACATCAGCTTACCTCTAGCAAAGTTTCCTTAGCACTGCACTGTTGTATTAATCAAAGAGCACTTCAGTCCCTCTCCATACTATATGAAAGTGACACTACAAGTGCTCACAATAACAAATACACACACACACACACACACACACACACACAAAAAAAGAAAAAAACATTGTAGGCCTACTCACTGCTGGAGTGTTGTCACTATAACTTCAGCAGTAGGACGATCTCTCGATGTGAAGGAATCACACTGCTTGATAAGATCTTGAAGACTCTCTATACCGCTATTGGGGTCTGCTTCTTTTGTTTGGTCAAATTCCACTTGGGCTCCACCCAGAGAATTGTCAGTCTGAGAAAGCAGTTCAGACAGTACAGGGAAACACTTCATTAAATACTACAGCAAGTAACTGAACAACCTCGGGTTAAAAAAAATGGAATAAGTAAAAGGAGAAATATTGAACAATAGCGTCCTTCTTTTACTTGTTCAATTTTCATAGGGCTGAGCTGATCATCATTCTTTCCATGTACGACTGTTTGAGATGTGTAAATTGTATGATCCTATAATTGTTTCTGATAATAACAGCATAGGTGGACAAAATGAAACAAGCTAAATGACAGATCAAAAGACACAAAAGGCCAAAATCTCAAATTGCGAGAAATGCCATTTTTCCCTATACTCTTCAAAACTATTTCCGCCCACCCACATGTGAAAAACAGACCGGAAAAGCATTAACAATCAACCCAAACGACTCTAGCACACACCTTTACTCTTCTGTGCACCAAACTCATGCCTTAGTATACAATGGAGTACATCAAACAGTCAATCAAAATGAACTCAGATACAAAGGCTCAGTAGACTGAGGAGGAGCACGGCTCAGTTGTGTTGAAAACTTAATTACTTTCAATTCTCAATATGAACTGATCAATGAATTATTCACATGGAAAATCTGTACAACCAAGCTGTAAGTTAACTACTTACAGCAAGAACGTATCTGAAAATACAGTGAAACCTTAGAATCAAATAAGGGGGTGAAATAATTTACCTTGTTATCCAGAAGGTAAAACTAGGCAGTGAGCAATTTGCTTTTACCAAAGACTTAGGTAAATATGGCCTACATTAATCCTAGATAAAAATATGAGAACAAAAATTTACCCTGTCATTCAGTTTGTCCTTGGCTTTGTCATGAACAGCTAGAACATCCCGCATGAAAATGCCAAAACAGTACACGTCACTTGCCGGGGAGAAGAGACCTCCCCTCTTCACCTCAGGGGCAGCCCTGATATAAAATATAGCAGGATGAAATGTGAGGCAACATGGTTAAATCAGGCACTCCTCAAAATAATGAAATTGAAGAAACTAACATTTTCCCGCAAGTTCGGCTATTTTTATCAAATTTGGGGGGGGGGGGGGGGGGGGGGCTAAACATCTTTTATATCCAATCAAGAACACATTTCTGTTCGGATTTTATTGAAAAACATTGATTAATGGCACAAAAAATGTATGATTTCAGTTACCACGGGCTCTCAAGCTATGAAAATAACCAAACTTAAGAGGCCATTTTCTCTCTAATTTAACCTTTTAAACAAGGCGACCTCCACCTCCTTAAATTGCGGATATCTTGGCTTTTTTAAGATAAATGGGTATTTTTTTTCATTGACGGCAAGACAAATGAACGAGCTTTAAGAAGACAACAATAACTCCTCATGACCAAAAATTGACAAGCGCCTGATTCCACTGCATCATAACCCAAATTAATGCTCTCCTGGGAAAAGAAGAAAGCGAAAGAGGCAGACACAGATCAATATCAAGTTAAGAGAACTTGTGTGAATGGATAATGTGTAAAGACTAGAACAATATATAGGTATTCTTTAGAGCATCCAAGCAGAATAAAGCGTATTGAACCATGATTGTCGGTAGGCCTATATAATTCAAATCTGGCACAAGAAGGAGAAGAATATTATCATAGATGAAGAAAAATGTGCTGCTATTTGGCCTTTCCTGACTGATTATTTTCTTAAGGAGAATATAGAAAGAGAGATTGAATAGTGATGAAAACCCTACATTATACTCCCGCAAAATAACCTCAGTTAAATTAATTAAAGGTCAACAGTCACCAAATTTTGCATGGAGTCTAATGTAAGTTGTTTTTGTAAGTTGAACAAGTTTTAGGAAAAAAAATGTATGTCAAGGGTGGTTACTCTACTATTTTTAATTCATTCAACTGCTTTTTATGCTAATATTTATAATACTAATAATGAAGATCATTTCTATAGATCTAAGCGCTTTACATAAATGTATGTACGAACAATATTCGGGCACGCACGCAGGCACGCATGCATGCACGCACGCACACACTAACACACATACACAAACACACACACACACTCACGCACACATGTGCCCACACATGCATGCCAAACATACGTGCACGCACACACACATACACACACACAAACATACATCTACTTGCTTTTCACACGCGCACGCGCACGCTTACACATCGTTACGAAATGAGCACATACAAATAGTACAAATACATAATAAAATTATATACACAATGCAATTCGTAAAATATATAGATGGATACATAGTCATTTACATAACATTGTACTGAACATAAATCTACTGATATAAAAATGATATCATATGAAGTCTTTGTTTCCGCTATTTAAAAGTCGGAGGCAAGCTTTTGGGGTTATAGTGAGACATAGTGTACTAGGTTTAGGTGACTGTAGAAAAAAACTCTGGGAAACGGTGAAAAAAATTCAGGGCTTAAAGAGTTAAAGATATTTTAAATTTACACTCAGATGTTGTATGTCTCAAGCGTTGGTGAAGAGAGTTTCAAACTGATGGAGCAAGGTGGGCAAACGTTTTTAGAAACTGAGTCTACAATTTTCTTCCTTTAGGTCTTTTCAGTTTTAGTAGAGGTTCTACGGCGGTCACAACTGCATATCCTTTAGGTCTGCTTTTGTCGAAAAACATAAAACACAGTGATAATTCTGCCTCAAAAAAACAAGCCATGTCGGTCAGAAAATAATAGAAGGCAAGCGTTCAAAACGCTCCAGGCTGGAAGTACTAGGCGAGATGTGGCTCAAAGGCTCAATCACCACAGAAACAGCACTAGACATTAGTGGGCATATGTCAGGGTATCTAGAATGACAAATGATTGACCTCGAAGAATCAGGCCTCAGATCAGTTTTAGTTTTAGTAAGAGTTTTGCGGCACTTGCAACACAATAAGGTCACATAAGCGCCGAAGATTAGAGGTGTTACAAGACAAACATAAAAAAGAAGGAGGGAAGATAAAGACGATAGATTTTTTATAGGAAAGAAGGAGCAGAACACAACTCAGAAGCAAGACTGACACATCCGCAGCATTCATCCCCTGAATACAGTGCATCCTGCATCACTGCCGCATGTAATGTCCCTCAATTAAGACTTATCTGAGAGAGAACTGACCAGCCCCAAACCTTAGATGAACTTGAGCAAAAGCTAGAAAGAACCTACCGGCAGACCCCCCACCTGTTCATCGAACAACTTATCTTTTCCATGCATCAACGATGTAAAACAGTTAATCAGTCATCAATGTTGCAGGTGGCCACATGTGGTACTGATTTTATGAATTTGGAAATTGAGAGGGTTCAACTAGTGATAGATGTTATTTGAGCAAAAATGAACACTTCAATAAAAATCGTTTATCCCCATGACTTCTTCTTTGATGTGCATGGCGTTTAGAAATGTAATGGATTCTCTACGAAAAAATTGTCTACAAATAAAGCATTTGATTTCTATGCACACTTGCTTTTTTAGTGAGTACCTACCTACCAGTCTATCTGTTTGTCTATCAGATGAAAACTACACACATGCATGGCGATACACATGAACACATCAGTGTATTCAAACACACACACACACACACACACACACACACTCACACACACACACACACACACACACACACACACACAAACACACACACACACACTCTCTCTCATACACACACACACAAACACACCCACACATACACACACACAAACACACACTCATACAAATACACACACACACACACACACACACACACACACACACACACACACACACACACACACACCACACACCCTCTCTCTCATGCACACATACACATGGCAGATACAGAGATAATTTCAGCATGGATACCTGTCAGAGACTTCTGAATCTTCTGGAACATTCTTGTCTTCTGGAATGTTTCCCTCTGTGTAGCTACGAGAATAGTTCAGGTGTGTCAGAGAAGTGAAATACACCTGTGAGAACAAGCAAATAACTTCACAGAGTATAACAGTTCAAAGCTCACAGACCTTCTCCTCTTCCATCTGACAGCTGTCCACAATATCTCTAATCTCTTCAATCATCTGCTCATTCCATTTGAATACATCACAGGACTTCCACAGCATTAGACTGTAAGGGATCAAAATAAATCATTTTCATAACTTTGTCTCTGGTCTCTGCCCATTGCCAAGTACCCATTTGCAGCACAGTATTTTGGAGACATAACATAAAGGAACTTTTTTAAATGGGACAATTAAGTTATTTTATCATTACAAGACATCATAAAGTTTAGACAACAACAGGAGAAGCATCCGCTGCAACTGATTTTCTAGCTCACACACTGGAACAATTTGAAGTGATCATCATAAGGTTTAGAATATAGACAACTACAGCACAAACACGTGGAAGGTCGGATGTTTGAGGGTGTCGATACATGTAGTAGGTCTACCTACTACTTCTCTTTCCATCAGATATTTCTGTACGTATTACTTTTTCCCTTATCTTGTATTTCTCTGGGAGGAAAAGACTACAGGAACACATTTTCTGGACAGAGATACCCAGCAACCCAGAATGTAGACAATAATAATTGCAAAACAAACACTTCCAACTCTGGTGACAAAACATTGCCAACTCACGCAACTTTCAAGAAAGAGACAAAATAATGTCGTCTCTTCACCCTGTTTTCCTCATGTAGAAAAGACAGCCTACTCACTCTAAATTTGAGAAGAGACTCTTCAAGTGTAGTTCCAAACAGAGATCTCCCATGACTCACAGGGCTGAATGGAGACAACAGCAGAACAAACACTACTAACTGAGGTGATGAAACATTGCTTACCCAACCCAACTTCCTTGTGAAGAACAGACTGAACAAAGCTTACTCCCCATGACCAGAGAAGAGACCTTGAGTTTACTTCTTGGACAGAAATCCCCAACGTTCAATGTCACATAATGTGGACCATTGCAGAACAAGCATAACCAACTTTGGTGACTAAACATTGTCCATTCATCCAATTTTCAAGGGAGTAATGGAACTTTGTCTACTCACCTTGACTTCCTCTGAGGGAAGAGACTCTACATAAGTATTTCCTGGACAGAGATCCCCGATGACCCAGGATAATGTGTGCAGCTTGACCAGTAGTCGGGCCACTAGAAGGAAGCAATAGACATAGGGGCCAAGCTCTTGACCCATTTTCAGGTCAGAGGTCACATTGGACATAGGCCCAAGGCATGAGGATGGGATCTTAATTTCCTGAAAAGAGATGCAGAGCAAAAGCTCAATGAATTTCACAAGGCGCTAAGCCATCCCTCATCACAGTACTGCTTGTGATGGTTCCGACAACAATCTATATCCTGACATATAGTGAAAACGGTATAGAAGGGTATGGCTAATAATCTAGACTATTTGTGCTATGTATTTTAATCTATGGTACTAAGATATTCAACTGCCTGGTGTTTATAAAAAGCATCATAAAACAAATAATATGAAGGTGAAGTTATTAGCATTTGAGTGAAAGAAAGATCGTGGCGTTCATGAAAATAAAATGAATGGATAAATGACTGAGCATAACACAGAGGAGTGAATTAATTCACAAGTTTATTTCTTACGAGTCCTTAAAATATTTAAGGCAAGTTACAATTACAGTTAAGCGACGAAATCATGCACCAATAAGAATAAACCGACTAGGAGAATCTATTAACCCTTTGAGCCCTGTCCCCTCAACTTGCAGCAGTTGAACAACCTAGCTCGCACTGATTGACAGCTAGTTTTATATCACAGCACGCTGAGGAGTATCATCAGTGCACACAAGGGTACAGGTAATACCTGATTACACTACAGGATTAAGAGAGACTGTAAAAAAAGAGTTGTTAACTGTCAGCTGGTACAATAAAAGCTACATTTCAGAAGGAACAAATTGTGACAGCAATAACACTGAGATGAAGTCGAAGTGGCAAACCAAACTAGGGTAACTCATGACCACCATCTTCATTTTGGTTAGCTGAATCGCTCTTGGTATTATATTCACAGTAGCTCAATCGCAAATGACTACGCTTATACGATGTCAGATATAGCTTAAACTGCTAATGGGTACATTATGTCTGAAACAGTTAAAATTGCTAATGGGAATATTACATCCAGAATAGATAAATTGTTCCTGGGTATATAATACCCAAAATACGTAAAATTGCTAATGGGTACATTAAAATATCCAGAATAGATGAATTACTCCAGGGTACATTATAATTATATACAGACCACAGCACATAACTCACCACATGTGGAAATTCTCTTTCATTCTCATAGACCAGTACCACTGGCAGGACTTCTTTCACTTCGCCCAACTGTATTTTCACGATCATGTCTGAAGGCCATTTGTGCAGAAGTTTCTCTGTGAAAACATACTGATCTTCCTGGGGACAAGATACATTCTATTTACAGGACAATGGAATCTGATTGATTTTTAGGCTTGGTGTGACAAATGAAGTTATATGTATTTAACTCTTTGTATGTCAGACTGTTTTGAAGTTTGCGCCACGCTTATGGGCTCAACATTGAAAGTGGTGTCAGGAGAGGTCAGTCACTGAACATTTTCCATTCCAGAAATCAGAACTGATACTTATTACTTTGCCAGGAGACACGACACAACTAAAAAGAAAATGATTAATTTACTGCGTGATCGATCATTGAATAGTTTCAGAGTTTAGCATCCTAAGGAAACTGTTTCGGCTGGTAAAACTAATAACACATTGGACCTACTGTCTCTGCAAAGGTTTTGGTTTTATATATATTTCAATAGTAATCATAAAAAAATATAAACAAGTTTGAGAGGAATGCAAGTCATCACTCTTGTGACAAAGAAATGTTTAACTCTTTACCTCCGATGGGGGTAAATCCACTACGGCAGGGCCCTTTTTTGGTGTTAAATCTAAACATGACAGAAACGTCATTAAATCGAAACTAGCAAACCTATTTTGATAGTTCTTCCTATAATGAATGAACTTTCGGTATAAGAGACCTGTTTTCGGCAAGTCGAAGTCGTCGTAAAGGAATATGCCCACTGTCAGCGGCTCATCGGCACAGTATTTCCGACCGCGAGTCACTGGGAGCAGCTTTTTCCGGAGATAAAGAGTTAAAGCAATAATACCTTTGAAACCGTTTTTGTTAATCAACAAAGTCACTACTCAGCGCAAGACTCCATCATACGTCTTCTTTCTTCAAAGAAACGTATGGCAGAGTCTTACACTAAGCAGCGGAGATGTTAACTGCCAAAGCCCCCCCCCCCCTTAGGGCAGTGCTACTGACTGAAGAATCTTAAAACCATTCTCAAAGGGGGGGGGGGAATCAACATGTTCTTATGTACAGTAAAATTGTAAACGGGCTGATTTATCAATGTCATGCTAATACTGTGCCGGAACAACATAGGGGGAGCAGCCGCTTTTTCTTTCCTCATCCTTATTATCGTATTTTTTCCCTCTACTTTTTTTGTATATGTTGTGAACTGCTATTTCCAGAGTGCCTTGAAAGTCGAAGCAGACTTGTGCTGTTGAGGCTAGAGAGGTGAGCAGAGTAAGCCTGAGTCCCCGTTTGGACTTCTCTGTTGACATCCATCCCTTGGCGTTCATATGACCTTATGCAGTTGCAAGCGCCGTAAAAGCTTACTAAACAACATAACTGCCAAAAAAAGATAAACCCACTGCAAACACACAGTATCAGAACAGTACATGAACTAACTGTAAGACTGAGTATTTTATTTCTACAAACATTGCTCAGATGAAAACATCTTGGAAACATTGCAGAATATCATTTTAAAAAGTACATAGGTATATATATATATTTTTAAAAAATTACTTTTTTAAAACTTTCTACACAAAACATGTAAGGGTCATTCCTGTAGCTTTTGAAAAACATTTTCTGCTTGTAAGAAGACATTTTAAATTTTGCGCAAAAATAGAGTACTCTGAGAGAAAACAACTTCACATTAGTTAGTCTTACCAAAGTGCAGCGGGATATTCTGTCAGATACTGACACAATATCCTTCTTAATGGGCACTACTGTTGGAATGTAGAAATCTGGATTGAGATATAAATATGGTGGGGGGGGGGGGGGGGGGAGAGAGAGATTAGGCTACGTTAACATATGGACTGATACAATCCTAAAAAAATAAAACAATCTGTGAGGTCATAAAATCATACTTTGATAGCTTTCTCAAATGCTGAAGGTGGCTTTTCGGCTTACAAAGCACATTATGTAAAGAGATTTCAAAACTTAAGCAGTGGTGCATTAATCTGATCAGTTATTTCTACAAACTTTTGATGATTTTGTGTACCCACATTAGAATTGTGAGAGCTTTTTCTTTCTTACTTTGAAAAGATTCCGAAACTTTGACAGCTTTTTCTAAAGTTTACAGTTTGCCAATAACAAAATATTCATAATGACAAGGGCAACAGAAAACAATCAAATGACACCTAGCAGAAGGAGAAAGATAAAAAAAACAAATATAAAAGATGAAATAAAACAGAAACATGACCAGTCTGTTCATATGAGCCCAGGTCAAAAGGTGACAAAATGTTCCCATTTCTTAGTAAGGTTATTCAGCACCAACATTGCTTCTATTTACAAGAGAAAAGTGTGCTCCACCTTAACTGACAAGTTTTGGAATAGTTTTTATCAACCTTTCGCGAGAAAACAACCAAATGCTTGGCTATCTAGACGGTGTCCCGTGTGACAGATGACACAATAGTTTCCTTCCAAAAGGCAATTTGAGCATGCACATATATGTTTTTCTTGCATGAGATTATTGATTATATGTATAATCAACTAACAAATGCCAAGTTGACAGAAAACTTAACAATTTTATTGGGTTTGGGTGTGCATGTTCGTGGTCAAAAGTCAAATGTTCTCTCTCTATGTGTGAGGCATCGTTGTGAAACCAGAAGCTCGTCAAGATAATATAATGAAAAAAAACAGCACTTCTCTACCCGTTGGAGAATTTTTATTGATATTTCGTTTTTTAGCTAAACACTTATGTCTTTTTTAATAATCTGTCTGCCCCGCTCAATATCAGCCGTAAGACGCACTGTGCTATTATCAGCTATGAGCCTCGAAAGGCAAAAAATTGACTTTCTGTGAAATTTTTCTTTTTTTGATATATAGAAAGTTTGAAGTCTTCTGGTGGATTTAAGATAAAATAAACAACTTTAATTGAATATAAATATTTTATTTTGATTTATTTTGGAGGTGTGTGTGGTTTGTTGCGAGCTTGGGTGACGAGATAAAGGAATTTGGACCTAGCTAGTGTGTAGTTGTGAGACTATTTTTAGAACCATTACCTCATGGCCACCTTTGCTTCAACCAAAGATTCTCCAGCGGAAAATCTTTGCTCCAACGTTTTTCATTCGCAACTATTTTTAGATTTTGACCCCTTTTCGAGCATGAATGGTCTGAAATGTAAATAACTTTGATTGGTAAAACGGAGTAAAAACGGTAACTTCTAGCTCACTTCAACAGCTGACTGTGTGGGCGTGCCCTCATAGCTGTTATCGTCTGTTGATTTTTCAGTTTTTCACTTGGATTGACTTGAAAAAATCGTTTTTCTTGTGTTTTAGTGCTTTTAAAATATTAATTGACCTTCCTCTAGATCTCTCAGAGTGGACTCCTTACCAACAGGCCACCGAGGCGGTCTATGTGCATGTGTGTGTATGTTTGTTAGTGTGTTTGTATGTGTGTGTATGTGTGTGTGCGTGTGTACGTGTGTGTGTGTGTGTGTGTGTGTGTGTGTGTGTGCGTGTGTACGTGTGTGTGTGTGTGTGTGTGTGTGTGTGTGTGTGTGTGTTTGTGTGTGCTCTCGTGTGTTTGTGGTGCTATTGCAAACGTATAATAAGGTAGCGTAAACATGTAGGGAACATTGACCGGCAGGGACACAAATATATATTTATGTGGATTTCACTTTTTCAAAAGTTCAAAGGCACAAAAAAGGTAAATATACAGTTTCCAAGGACTCTCAAGTTTTGGAAGTCTCCTAACTTTGACGGCAATTTTCTCGCTAATTTTACCTCTCTACCAAGTGACCCGAACCTCATTTATAAACATATAACTCGACTTCTATTAAAGATAGAAGCGTATTTTTTCATCAAAAGCAAGGCAAAAGAACAAGCTTTAAGATGATACAAGCAACTTCATATGCCTACAAACTGACGAGAGCCTGATTCCACCACGTCGTGACGCATGTACTTTATAAAAATGTATCCAAAGGTCATACTTCACCTACTCTATCCACATTTACAACAGATGTCAGTTTTTTCATTCGTAGAAGAAAAAGGAATGTGACCCAGTAGAACTGAAGACAACAGCTCTGAAGACAATTGACTCCTGCCCTAGTGATTCAATTCATATTTATACAGACGGGTCAGCCTTCAAGGGAACTATAAACGCAGGCTTTGGGGTAAGAATTGAACATCCTGACAAAACATGTGAAGAGCTATTTGATGCATGTGGTACTTCTTGTACAAATTACGAGGCTGAGGCAATCGCCATTGAAGCAGCAATCCTACACCTGACCAACATTTTCATAATACATCCAAACAAAATCAAGAACACTATTATCTTCACAGACGGAAAGTCAGTACTCCAAGCTCTGGAAAACATGAATTTCGAAAGCCCAGCCTGCCTATCCGTGGCTCAAATAATCAATACGTTCATACAGACCTATGCCGTCGACCTGACACTACAGTGGATACCTGGCCACAGCAACATCCCAGGAAACGACAGAGCAGACACCCTTGTCAAGAAGGGAGCATCACAGACACAACCTCACAACCCAGTATCACAACAGACAGCCAAGAACATCATCAAATGCAACACCAGGGAACAGTGGCTGAATGGATGGGCAATGGGCAAAACTGGAAGAACTGTATTTGCACACATGACAGTCCCCAACTCTAAAGATGCAATAAATTCCCTGAGTAGAAGAGAACAAGTCACGATATTTCGCCTGCGAACACAACACATACCACTAAACTCCTACCTTAATAGGATCCGCAAGGATACCCCACCCGACTGCCCGTTGTGCGACTGCCAGGATGAAACAGTACCACACCACCTCTTTAACTGCCCAGCACTTTGTGACCTGCGTAGCACCTACCTACCTGCCTCCCCAGACATCGGAAACAGCTGATTAAAACCTGTCAATTCTTTGCCATATTGACAGACCGAAGGGCTAGAACCCAAATGGCCGCTGGATCGGAAAAGTAAAGTAAAGTTCATTCGTAGAAGTATATAGATAAAAAAGTACATTTTTACCTTGCCTACTCTGTACTATTACTATCACTTGAACATTATTATATCAAGAAACTAATGTCACCTTGTGCCTCCAAACAAATAAATCAAGAACCGGTCTTCCCTTCCATTTGTATATTAACCCCTTCACTTCTTTAGCCAGCAACAGTGTTAGGCTCTTTTGTAGTGGTTTTTAGATGTCCTGGCAGCAAAAGGGTTAACATATCTAAGACTGGACATAAACACATTCATACTCAAAGTCAATGAAAAAAGAAACAGATATGGACTGCAGTCAAAGCTCAGAGACTCAACCTGTTGGACTCGAATGCATGCCAAAACACAACTACCTTTACCCTTCTGTGCACTGAACGCACTATTGAGAGTATAATGGGATAGACATAACTGTTGATACACAGAAGGTGAGATGTACAAGTCCTGTAGGCAAAGGGGAGCAGGGCTCAAGGTGACAACAAAGAATTTAAGATACCTCATCAAAAAAACCCAAAAAATACAGACATCAGAGAAGCAATTGTAGTAAGAATGTAAAGATGGGACAAATTTGCAAGAAAAAAAAAATGATTACGCTTCTCACCTGGGGGTCTGTTCATACCCTGAAAAAGACCAAAATCAAACAGATATCAATAACATATGCGCTATATAACTAAATATATACTAAATATATATTTGTATGGTACAAAGTATTCAGCTTATAATGTGATCCCAACTGTAACTTCCACTTTCTAAAGTCCCGAGTTCCATAAGCCCTATAATATTCTTTCTCTTTAAAAGGTCAAGGCTGTACAGTGCAAAATGCATTTTTTGCTACATCATTCACATTTCTAGGAATTTTAGAGAGTGAAATTTCTTTTAAAGTACATTGAACATTGCGAGAATAAGTTGTTGTCAGTGGACAATTGCACAAACTTACCCTTTTAAGAAAAAGAAATGTTACCACTTGGTGGAATCAAGTACTCGTCAATTTTTCCACATGTGGGGTTATTGGTATCATCTTAACACTTTGCCCCCTCAGGACACTGATGGCGACGGTAAGAAGATGTCCTTTTCTCTCACAGGATGGCGATCGGCGACAGTGTGATATTGCAACAAAAACGTTGTAGCAATGATCTCCTTTTTGACATGCGCACTTGTTATAATTTCCTTTCTGAATGGTTTGTGTGGCCTTTGAACTAAAAAAATTAGTTTGTTTACAACAATTGTAGTAATTTTTTCAAAATTATTATGTAGACCTGGCATGAGTGCTGCTCAACACTTACAGCATAATGAGAATTTGGGTGATGAGTGTGCTAAATCTAATGTCTTCAGTTCCGATTCTAATTCCTTTTTTGGTGAACATGTGGTCATCACGTTCAACTTTCTCAATATGCTGAAAATTGCAAATTGATGGGTTTATTTTTGCCGAGACACAGGTGTAGTCATCTGCATCCTGGTCCGTGGGGACAGGTGATGTGCCCACTGTGTGAGTGGAAAGTGTTACAGCTTGTTCATTTGGCTTGTATTCAATTTTAAAAAATACCCATCTATCTTGAATAGAAGTCGAGATATTTGCAAGTGAAGAAGATGAGTGTTGCATGGTTTCAGGGGTAAAATTAGTGAGAAAATATCTGCAAAGTTTTCTGACTTCCAAAGATTCAAAGTCGACAGAAACTGCAAATTTACATTTTTTGTGCCTTTAATCAACATTTTCAGCTAAATCCACACATAAATGTGTTCCTAAATGGACATAAAAGGTGCTGAGCCTAAAAAAGAACTTTTTTTTTTAATTGCCCAAAAACAATATAAATACAGATTTCTTGGATTTCATCATTTTGACAAGCGCCTGATTTCACCACATTGCCTCACAAATGTTTTGATACAGCAAGGGTCCCAGAGTACAGATGTGTTCACTCTAGTAACAGAGCTAGGTACACACAAACACAGCAGTTACATGTAAGGACTTTAGTTTTGGTAAGAGTTTTACAGCACTTGCAACACAATAAAGTCATATTATAAGTGCCGAAAATTAAAGGTGTTACAAGACGGACACAAAAAACGGGAGAAAAGGAAAATGAATGTTTGACAGGGATGAAGGAGCAAACCACATTAGAGTACCCACCAACCACACACATGCTAGGACAAGAGGATACATTCAAATAGGACAGAAAAAAAATAGAGGAAACATGTATGCCCAGACATCAAAACCTAAAACATCAAGGGATCATCAAACCGTACAAGGAAGAATGGGGACAGAGGTGGGGAGGGGGGTGTTTATCCATACAAAAATTTCCAACAAAGTATCTTCAGGTGAAAAACCCCCCACATAAAATATAAAATATATCCATTTATATAATGCTTGTCCATGCTCTGCAGCATGTTCTATGCACTCTACAACTATCATTATCTCAGTAGCCCCAGTCTGTGAAATCATAAAATCCTACTTTGATAGCTTTTTCAAATGCAAAATGAGGCTTTCAGCTTACAACAAGGTTTTTCAAAAAGCATACAGTAAAAACAACTGACAAAGCATTCAAACACTAACAAACTGACAAGATCTTTCACAGTTTAAAGCCAGGTACCCATTCTCACTTGGGTTAGGTGAGGAAAATACATGTAAAGTGCCCTTCCCAAACACAAAACATTAAGTTCCCGACAGGATTCCAACTCATGATCTTCTGATTATGAGCCAGACAACCTAATCTCTAGACCCTGATGCTTGATGTGTATTCTTTCCCAAATAGACTTGAATATACATTTACTTTACAGAAAATAGCCATCAAAACACAGTGACATACTAGGCCTAGGAAAGAGATGTCAGTGTTAAAGTTAAAGTAACTTTCAAAGGACGACATTTGTGTCACAACGTGGTGGACTCAGGGGCTTGTCCATTTTTGGGCATGTTGAGTTATTGGCATCATCTGAAAGCTTATTCATTTGCCTTGCTTTCAATGAATAAAATATCCATCTTGCATAAATAAAGGTTGAAATATTCGCAATTGAAGAAGCCTGGTTTCAGTAGTTAAATTAGAGAGAAAATGGAAACCAAAGTTAGGTAACTTCAATAGCTGAAGAGTCCTTCAAAACTGAAAATTACATATTTTGTGCCTTTAAACAAGGTTTTACAATAAAATTCCCATGGAAATGTGCTTTCTTAAGAACAAAAAAGGTGTTTAGCTAAACAACAAAATTTTGATAAAAATTGCCAAACTGATGGAAAAATGCCCTTTTCTTCGATTTCAATATTTTGACAAGCGCCTGATTTTATCACGATGCCTCACATATAGCTTATAACTATTTTCTAAAAACTTGAAAGAAACAAATTTAAGTGTACACTACTTGGATAAGAGAAAAAAAGAACAATGGCACACCACTTCATAGTCTGTGGAGGGTCTCCGGTACTTATCCGTCAGCACAGGGTACAGCTCACTGGCATGCCCTTCAGTCTCATCAGCAACTGCAGTAAACAGAATATAACAGAAAGAAAGTAGGAAAAGTACACATTTTAATAAAAAAAGTTTGCGTGCATGCGCACATGCGCACATGCACACATGCACCCACACATGCACCCACCCATGCACGCACGCATGCATGCACACATGTGCGTGCTCATTCACGCATGCGCGCGCGCACACACACTCACACACAAACAAACACAAACACACACACATACAAACACAAGCACACACAAACACACACACAAATGCTTATGTGAAGCGTGCTGAAAAAATGAGTTACTTCTCCGATTCGAGCGTTATGGAAATAGCACATTGCGCTTATAGGTGAGGTTTTTACATTTCATAAGAATGAAATAATAAAAGGCATGTTATACTTAACCCTATCCGTACGTTGTGTTTTACTATCATATCCATATGATGTGGCGAACTCTGTGCCACCATTTTCCAAAGAGAAAATTTACTCTTCAATCCGATCCGTACGCTTTGCATAGCATCTGTTAAAATGATTTTTTTGAGAAATACTGAAAGTTTCAAAGAGATCTTCGCACTTGAAGTATTCTAAAATGTGAACAATACAACCCCGGGGGTACAAAATGACCCCAGGGCGTACGGATAGGGTTAAAGAAGATGGCATCAATAGAAAACCAACAAAGTTGACCCTAGTGTTGATTTTGGCCAATTTCTCCATTTGGGGATTGCGAGAAGTAACTCATTTTGTCAGCACGCCTGATGATGATGGACAAAATGGAACAGATCAAATAATATATCCAAACAAAGAAAAAAAATATTAACTGTAACTAATGCCATTTTCCTCGTATTTTTCAAATGCTTTCACCCTCTTGGACACAATGCCAGATAATTTATGAGGAAAGATTCTTCGACTCTGCCAGAACACACCAAGGTTGAGTAGGATACATTTCCCCAGCAGCAAGGAAGAAATACTCTATGAATTAGAATTTAATATACAGGAATCACACCTTCTTCGTTCAACAAGGATGAACCTAGCCTTTACACCATAGACATCGGACATGGGTGCTACTGGGCAGTTTTGGGACTGTTGAGGATAAGAAATGCTGTCCAGATGCTGTAACTATTGAATTAATCAAGTGACAATAATGACCTGTCACTTTTGGCACATTAACATAGTTGCTGAGATGGAAAGTATAGCATCAATGGACATACTAGACAAAAGTGAAGCAGAACCATTAACTGAAATAAAAACTCATCCACCACACATACAATACACACAACAAACTGCAACGGAACAATAAGATACAGTCAAACCTGTCTTGGCGGCCACCTCTATAAGTCGGCCACCGGTACAAACAGCCACTTTCCATTTCCCCCCTTGCGTTTTAATCTATATAATTTCATTGAGTATAAAGGGCACCTGTCCAACGCGGCCGTGGCCACCCTATTTTAACACACAACCCCTATCGTACCAAACAATAACACCTGTCTTAGACGGCCACTTTAGTGACTCCATTACGTTTTGTCATAAATTATGCATCAGCCCCTGGTGTTGTGGCGTCATAATCCAATCACCTGTCATTGTTGTTAGGTAGTCCCTCCAACCGACTGTTGACCAATAGGTAACAAATTTTCAGCTGCTCGCGAGGTAAGCGTGTGATCCCTCATAACCCATAAGCCCGCCCAGAACTCATACACAAATCGTAAGTGAGATGAGTGGTCACTGTTTACCTAGTCTGTAACAAAGTAACAATGGACGTCAACATGAACTTGCAACAGAAACGTTGCTCGTTCTCAAGGTGTTTACGATCTATGTGTTTGTTCTAACATGGCACTTAGTTTTACTCGTTTTATTGTCTCCCTTGCACAAAATCAGTAACAAAATACAACAACAACACGGCTACCTTCGGTTGGGACCTCAGATGGGAATGGTTTGTTTTCTTCATCTTGATCAGTCCTGTCTAAGACGGCCACCTGTGTTACACAGCCACTTTTTTCCATAACAATGGGTGGCCGTCTTACACAGGTTCGACTGTAAATGCATTACCTACAACAGTTCCACATTGCTCACCTTTCTTTAGTACATGAATTATAGTATTCACAGAAGGTCTATATGTGGAATCAGGTTTTGTGCAGTCCAATATCAAATTCCAGGTCTCTTTCTCAAAGCATCTCTCTTGTGAAAGAGCAATCTCTTTGCAACATATCTGAAAACATAAAAAGACAGGAAAAAAAATTTTTAAACACACATAAACGCCCTCATTGCGAAAAAAAAACTTGAGAAACAATTAAGACCTTGTGGGGGGTTTTTTTCTCATCTGCGATCCTTGTCAACCTTGAAAAAAACAAAGTTAAAAAATCGAGGTGCACACTGCGACGATTAGCAATAGTATGTCGATTGTCTGAATTGATGTGGCTTTGAAAAACTGTTGAACATGTGCAGTCCCGTATTAATGCAAATATACTATTGTAACCCAAATTTCCTCTGAGGACCCAGGGTTCCTCGGTTTAATTGTCCTCCAAAAGGAAGAGCTAAAAGTTATACCTCAGCTCGGCGGCCGAGTTCCTTTGCATCAATACACCCGGCAAGTGATCGTTCTACCTTGTGATTTCCAGTGCATTCTCTATGTGCATGTTTGAGTTGAGTTTGAGAAAAAAGAAGCATATCAGCAAAGTAACAGCCAAAGTGTCTGTTAAAAAGCAATACTGACCGATAGATTCAACAGACGAATAGTAAAAAAAAAAAACCCAAAAAACAGAGGTAGCCTCAAACCCTCTGTGAAATGCATGATTTCACCAACATAAAGGCTACAATGAGGCAAAAAAATAAAAAAAGAAAAGCCAAGTACAGATATGGCTCACATATGACAGGTTAACATTACAGTTCACTTTTTTTTTTAAAAAGCACAATGAAAAAGAGCTGTCGTTCAATGCTGGATGAAAAGTAGCAAAAACGGGCAGAAACAACAAAGAGAAAAAAAAGAAGTCAGACTTACAAGCGCTGCCTTCCAACCATCCTTAGAATTAAGGAAAATATAGATACCTAGATCTAGGTCTACTCCTCATATTTTTTATGTTATAAAAATGTACTTTCGGTGGGATTTTTTCAGTCACATTCAAAGAGCCAAAAATATTTTCCGAAATTTAAAATATAGGAGTATTACAAAAATTTATGGAATAAATGTGGTAAAGATAACTTGTGAAATTAAAATTATTATAAAGAGGGGAAGGAAATGTATCATTACATCAACCAAAAAATGAAGCCAAGCCAGTAGCTCAATTTTTACATTTCTAAGAATTTTTTTGAAAAACTCTGAAACTGGCCAGTCTTGGGAGACCATTGAGAAACCAGACTGGCCAGGGCTCAGTGAGTTAACGCCATCCTTCAGCACATATTTCACACATGCCAGATGCACAGAATACACAGAAAACTCAAAGAAACACAAAACACCAGTCATAAAAACTAACAGCACATTCAGAGGGGGAACTGAACTCCTTTACCTTCTTCACCAGACCCTGAATGTCCGTCTCGTGCCCGTAAGGTAAAAGTCCATGAGTGAGAACCTCATATATCAAATGTCCCAGCATCCAACAGTCACTGGCCTGACTATACTCACTGCTACTCAACGACTCTAGAGCACTCCAGCGGGTTGGAATTCCGGTATTATTGTGGCCTGTGGCAAAGAAAGACAAAGCAGCATAATATCTGTAAATGTAAAGAAACATATAGCTTGCTCATTTATTTCTCCACACAAGATTTCCATTCCTTTGTTGAGACATGTTGGTTTCTTACAGCTGATAAAGCCAACACAATATGCAACAGTACAATCTTACTTAAGACTATCATAACAAAATTAAAGTATGGAAAATATTCCTATTTTTCATTACAAAAGAAAACAAAAATATCATTCTCAATCAATAGAATTTTGTTTCTGAACAGGCTAAATGAGCTGTAAAAAAATGTTTCAAAAGTAGAATACACTCCTCAACATTTTCAAGTTAAAAGTGACATTTGTTGGAGGCTAATTGCCCAACTTACTTTATCAAATAAGTAGACAAGTTTCAAGTCAAAATAAAAGCAAAAGAACTGAATCAGAAAAAGTACACAGAGTGGGTCTTCATACTGAAAAAAGGGTCTGTTTTGCAAAGGACATAATAATAACATATCAACAACAGATCATAAACAGGCACGGAAAGAGTGAACTAAATTGTAACTATAGTAACAAAACAGTGCAGTACTTAGAGCCTTGAGTCGCCTTAATAAACCAGGAGAAAATTTTTGAAAGTACTAAGCTGAAAGGTAAAGTAAACATGTGAAGGTGAGCTCGGCTTTGCTTTGCATTTCTTATCCATGAAAAGATATCAGCTCCTTTTTTAGTCAAGTTCATTTCGTGTTTAACTAACTGGAGACTGGGCCTTTTTCGGGTCTACATACGCTGAAGACTGGCGTTCTTTGGGGTATTTCAATATTTCAAACAACACCCTTCCCAAAGACATACAACCACCATTTTTACACACATAACAGATCTAAACACGCCCAATATGACACAAAAAAACAGAAAGGCAATACCTTTTATAGTTTTTTAGAAATGACTTTTTGAAAATGTGCTAAAATTTGTTGCTTGTCAACATTTTTTGACGTAATGTCTTATGTTTAAAAAAAACAAAACAAAAAAACCCCCCAAAATTCATCTTACGTTTGTCTTTTATTGTTTTGTGTTTCAAAATGAATTAAAAGTCCATGAACAGGCAGGTAATCGATATGGTAATCCTTAGGCTATGTATTAGCTGTCTAATCCACTTCAGTATGAAAAACACAGGGCTCCAGACAAAGAGGAATTTTGCATTTGAAAGCCTAGTCTAGATCTAGAACATTCACTATCAGAATCAGTGCTTTGATGCTCATTTACATTGCAAATCAGGATGTCCATGGTCTAAAATATCATAATCAGAATTTTCTGAACTGTCAAAGTCGTGCAAACACTTGAAAAATGTTGGCTTCTCGTGCTACCAAGTGGGTGGTTGGCGGGTGCTCTGGTAAGGTTTGCTCCTACTTTCCTATCAAAGATCTATCGTCCTGATCTCTCCTCCTTCTTTTTTTGTGTTTGTTACTCTCTTGTAACACCTAATCTTAAACCTTATGGTGTTGCAAGTCCCGTAAAACTTACTAAAACTAAACGTGCTACCATTGTACTGACAAAGGGTTGCAAGAACAGACATGTCAGAGAAACAAATGTAGGGCCTCAGTGTGACTAACTTTCCTTCCAGGTCAATAGCTCAAAAAGTTTCCAGCCAATTCCAGTGAAACTTCGCACAAAATGAAACATAGGTCTGCTGCACGGTAAGAGATGGTTCACGCAGCCTTTGCACGCATACTTTGCCAAGGACAAAATGCGAAACTTGTGCTCGCAGGGGGTGCGTGAACCGCCTCTCGGGGAAATACTGGTGCTCGCAAATGCTGCATGAACCATCTCCAGCGAGTCAATGACTTTGGTCTCATTATGCAAAAAGACAAAGCCCATAACCAGTGAGTTAAACAAAACAAGAGCTAGCACATTCCAGCTATCACTCACTGATGTATTTGCCAGATGAGGTCTCCTGACACAGCTGAAACCCACAAAGCTTCACATGCTCCCCACTCAAGCACAGACTGGCTGCAGTCAAATTGCAGTGAACAAAATTTTTGGAGTGACAATAGGCCACGGCAGAGCAACCTTCAATAAGATACTGGAATAAACGTGGTCTCGGGAAGAAAGATTTATCCAAGCTGTGTTTCACCAGAGCAGTCTGAGGGGAAAACACGATTCCAGCATCAACAACAATGGGTTTCATATCTAAAGACATAATTCAGGAACATGAAACTCCATCAATTTGAGCTAAAAGTCAATGGGAGAAAAAGCTGAGCTAAAATTATTTATATCAAAATTAAGATAAAAAGAAATCAGTCATAGGCATTTCCAATTAGATGCTCCGAAAATTTGAACAAATGCTGCATCCAGTGAGATAAAAAATAAGAATAATGTTCTTTTATATATTCTTGAAACTCAACACACGCAAACACAAGTCAATACATACATATTGAGACAATGAGACAACACTGCTAGGTGAAGGGAGAGAAGGACTAGTAAAGGGGCCACCTTTTTAAGACAATCAGGCGTTTTGACTTCTTGAGAGAGGAAGCAGAGGTTGAACGATCTGAAAAGATTGAACCACTTGGCGGAGCTCATGCGTATGCTTAAAACAATCTGGGTAAGTGCACATGCACTGTGCACAGTTCATCATCTGCTAGTCCATGCCATCCTCAATCCCTTTTCCCCTACTCAACTCTCCACACTTTCTTTCATTATCTATGACCACATTTGAACAGGTACAGCACCTAATAACTTCTTCTAGATCAGTATATCAAGAAGCCCTTGTGCTTGAAAGTCAGTTTTTGCCATTTGAAATAAGTGAAAGGAAGTGGGGGAGTTGCTAGGAGAATGTCTTTGCTTCCTCACCACCTTGTTCAATCCTTCCCTCCTCATAAATGCATTTTAATGGGATTCTAAAGCACTATTCCGGTCTTAAAAAGGACAAAATATCGTGAACAAGGTAAAATAAAGCAAAACACTTGGAAATGTTTACTGCCCTAAACTTTTCGGCGGATTTTCATTTTTAGAACAGGTTCTCAGGAATGCAAATTGCAAATAAAAAATTGTTGTTACTAGATAAAAGTGTGCTCTTAGGTGGATCCGGTTCTAACGCAGCACGTTCATAGAAGGAGATCACTGTATATGCTTACTAACGTACGAAAACATTGGAAGAAATATATATCGGAAACAGATGTTAACATCACCACTGACAAGCATACACTGATACATACATCTGTCTATCACACATGAGCACTCAATAATCCTTGCACTCAAACACATCTGCCACACATTCAAACATGATACTACCTTAGCATGCAAACCAACACATCTGAGTGAAACACACACACATGCAAACAGATTACCTGACCAATATACCTGAAACACACACACATGCAAACAGATTACCTGACCAATATACCTGAAACACACACACATGCAAACAGATTACCTGCAGATTCATGCGCCTGTAATCCTCGCACACGTAGAGCTGTAGCACACTATTCTCCTGGAACACAAACATCTGAATGATGTTGCTGTGCTGCAACTGTTTCAGCCGCTGCAGCTCTGTCAGGGGAAAGTTATGATAAGTCTTGGGGCTCTGTCCATTCTCCTGTCGAGGAAACGTCTCAGGCAGTTGGTTCACATGAATCAGGACCCGGGTGTTGTCAAATTTGCCTGACGTTATGGACCACGCACCTTGTAATTTACTGTCCTGATGTGGCTGGAAAACAAATTGGACAACATTCCTAGATAAATGAGGAAAATGAGTTTCCGTTTTCATATGACAGGCAAAAAGAACTGGAAAATAGTCTTAAAAACATAAAAAGGGATAAATGAAAAAGAAAGATAGACATGATTATAAATTATCAGCCAGTGATATGTCATAATCGTAACGATCCTGCTGAAGGGCACACTCTACTTCTTAGCACCAAAATCTACAATTAAGTGGTTTTCACTTGTTTTTTATCATTTTCTCAAAGTATTCCTTTCAAGGATTAAAAACAATCAGTTTTGGGAATCATAACCGGTTACATAATCATGGAAATAGCAAATTAGAGTGAAATCGGGCTATCCGAAGAACAATTTTCGAAAGTTAAAACCTCAAAAACAATCCATGCTATCTATGAACTAATTACAGACATATTTGTAATTTGCACCCAAACTTTAGGAAAATGACGCTAGCTTTTCTTGAAATTGTAAATATTAAAAGTTTTATAACTTTTAGAAGATGTGCATATTAGTAAATGACAAAAACGGTCAAAATAGCAAAGTAAAAAAATCATTTTAAATATTTTTCTTCAAAAATTATAAAAAAGCTAGCGTCACTTTAGTTGGAATTGCATGGTGCACTTACTCTTCAAATTTCGTGTCTTTATCTCGAACGGATTTTTAGTTTTTAGCTTTTAAAGCCAAGAAATTAACACTTTGAGACTTTGAGGAAGGGAGCAAAAACATCTCAAAATTGCTTTATAGCATTGTATTGGCTAACGGGTCAAACTTTATGGAGCTATCTCTTTGAAATAGGACTTTGGGAGTACTTCCATCTGACTTAGCACATCATTTTCAAGGGAAATTTCTTAAAACCAACAAAAAAAAACCATTGTCTGGACCCAAACGCCAAAGTGTGGCCTTAATTCATAATGAAAGCGGCCCTGAATATTAGTGGATATCATTTCTATAGAAAAGGGAAAGTGTTATTCTTATCGCTGTACAAAGCTTCATGCTATATTATGGTTTTATTTCGGAGAACTGAATTGAGGAATAGTTATTGTCTGCAAGGCTTGAAATTATTTTAAGAGGAATAGAATATTTAGGAAGTTAATGTACAGAACATTTTAAATCTATTTCAAAGAGTAAAACACAGAACTCCCACCTGATTGGTTTCTTCAACGATGAGCAGGGGAAGCAACAAATGCTTAATTTCTTCAAGCAGCTCTCTTTTCAAGCCAGGCATGGCTTTCACCTTGTCCAGAATGAGCTCCTGGACCAGCGGCTTATTGTCACAGAGCAAGCGCAGGTAGAAGCTATCAGCCCGAGCCTGTTAATATTTAAAATGTACTTTCACCACAACCAACTCATTCAGATCATTCAGTAGGTAGGCTACTTCGACTGTGTCTATCAGGGGCAAACCGGGCTGAATTTGACACAACATCCTAGCAGATAGATGGAGAGACTAGGTAAAACACTTCCGTAGATGGCCATTCCTTCAGCATACAACACCATGATATTATTATAGTGCTGAGTATGCAATGGTAAGATTCAACCCTCCTTTCAACCCCTCCAGGCTATCAAAGAGGCTAGGTCTCCAACAAGTCAGAGCAAATTGGGTGGAGAACCATGAACACTCCCTGGACACTACGAGATTCTTTACCAAATACAATGAGATAAAGGCAGGATCTGCCTCTTTTTCTACAGATTTAAAAAAATTGACTTGACATCATCAGCAGTCAAGAGCTCAACGGCAAGGCTAACCAAATTTGGAGAGGTATTAAACTGCACTACTGCACTGAATACAACTCTAAACACTTTATGAAATGCACTTTAAATACATGTATGTAGCAAATCTTCAAATAAATCAACAAGTTACAGAGAATTCTTAACAGACAAACCAACTCCCAATAGTACTCACACAACCTATTTCATTAATAACACAGGTATATAATTTTTTTACGGCAGTAGTTCAACAAATTTGTAAACAAAGTGAGATAAAAAGATCTTTTAGGAAAGTGGCCAGAAAGAAATCCAAAGTAAAAATTAATTGTCAAACAAACCTTATTGTCAGGATGATCCAAAAGAATTTCTATGACTGTCATGACATGTTCGTACAAGCTGTTTATCTTTCGTATTGTGACATGGCCTAAAAAAGAATTCAGGAAAAACAAAAGAAGTTAATAACTCACTGGCTGCCCGTGCCGCAAATGATGTGGTCATAGTACAGCTTCCGCTGACGACCTTTGCCATAGTCTGTGCGGTTTTTTAGTTCAGAGGGTTGTTTTCATGTTATTACCGCAGCATAATATGCCGCGTGGGTACTGCTTTTAGAAACTACAACCACTTTTGTACCAAAAGAGCAGTAAAAGGATAGAAACTCAGTTATGGTGCTCTGAGCGCCAAGTGTCGTTATGCATAGGACAATGTTTCTGTGTGTATCACATGAAGGAGAGTTAGTAACTATAACAAACTGGGACAATGGGACATCAACGGTCCTTTTTGTGTTCTCTATGGGTATATACCATAAACAATAGGAAACAAACATTCTAGTTGCATACAATTCACATTTGATTAGTTTTCCTGAGTCCCATTTGAGGTTCAACCATGAATCTTACAGCAGTTCTGGACCTATTTTTGTTGTTTTCTAAAAATTAAATGAAAGAAAGAAATCGCATCGTTTGTTTTCTTGCGATCTTTATGTCCATAACAAGTGTGCAAAGTTTCAAATTGTTATGTCAATTAGTTTTGTCACAGCGATTGTTTGGAAAACTCATTGAAAAAGCAGGTGCCAAGGATAACTCAAAAACAAATATGGCGGGAAGCCAGTGAGTTGAAATAATAGTCTTGCTTTGTTTTGGTAACTAAACTCTTGATGTATGTAGAGAATGAAAAGATTTAGAATACTGCTCTGTAAACAAATCATTATCACCATCATTATTATTACTATTCTTTATCATTATCTTCACTATTATTATTTCTGTCAACATCACAATTATCAACATTATTATTATAATCATAATTAGCATCGTTATCATATTAATAAAAATACGGAGTGGCTACTCGCCCCATGTCGGATGACTAGTGCCAGGCTACTCATCCGATCTAGGATTTCTGCGCTTGTTCCGGGCGAACGAATTCAGTCGATAAGCCCCACCTGGCCTGCGGCTTCTGGCCCATGGGGATTTCAGCGTATGCTCCTTTAAAATTCGATGATCAATCATGCAAGATTCAGTCACTCACTCGGTCACGTGTCCTTGTCCTCCAAGTCAAGTGGGATCGGTTCTAACGTGAAAGTTTGACTCTGACTGCAATTATCTGACCAATTTGACATTATTATAATACATGTCATGTATGAAGACGGGACTGGCCATAATGTGTACAATAATGACTGTATTGCACCGGATCAGCTTGTGAACTGACGAAGAGAGAAAACGACAGGAATCAATAATTCTAATAACAAAAACACCCCCCCCCCCCCTTTCTCTCTCTCTCTCTCTCTCTCTCTCTCTCTCTCTCTCTCTCTCTCTCTCTCTCTCTCTCTCGTTCTCACTCTCTCTATTTCTTTCTCCCCCCCCCCCCTCTCTCTCTCTTTCTCACTCTGCCGAAGACAAAATTTATCGCTTTCAACTCAGCGCTGAAACGTTTGTTTACATTCGTATCACGGGCCGTCACGCGCTAAGAAGACGAGGTACATCTAGCGCCCAAGTCTCCTTCAGACGCGAGATAAGGCAATTGAAACATCTTGGTAGTAGTTAGACAATCTTTAATAACATCACGGCGCTGCATTTCTATTGTTAGTAACTTTGTCACCAGCATTCCGATGAATGATAATAATTAAATAATTAATAAAGGGTGATAGATCTAGGGGATCTACAACAATGTAGTCAACACGCGAGGGAAACCTCGGAAGACTACAAAAATAGATGGCGGAAAACATCATCTACGATCTATTTTGGACCAATCACTGAGGTGTCCTTGGTGCTCTCAATAGCTTCAAGTCGCTTGAAAGGCCGTGCGGCCGTGTTTACACTACCTAACACGGGGTGCCCACTACGGATAGGATCGCCCAACTCGGTCGCCTCAAAAAACAAACTTGTTTGTTTTCAGTTTCAGGCGATCGAGTCGGGCGACCGTCCGATCCAGCCGTAGTGGGCACTCCGTATAAGACTAAGACTAGATCTCGGTGACCGGCTCCGGGTGGGCAGAAAATGCTATCCACCCGAGGTCGCAGAAATCCCCACGGGTCAGTTGCATCAGGCTACTCGATAGAATTCAGCTGACGCTAGCCACCCTAGATCGGGCAAGTAGCCTGGCGCTAGTCACCCGACATCGTGAGAGTAGCACCAGCAATAAAAATAATCATTATATCATTACTGTTATTATCATCAATATTATAATTATCAAACATTATCATTACTATTATCACTTATTATTTCCAATCTTATAGCTGATATCATCAAAATCATTATTAACACTTTCCCTACCACATTTGCGGCTTGTGGAGATACAAAATTCTCGGCCCATCCACGTTTTCAAAATAAAAGAATAGACTTCCTGATAGCAGATACGAAAGAAAATATTGCACTGACAGACGATTTTTAGTCATTTCAGCGCTTTTTTTGCCCACTTCGAAACGTAAATATGAGGAAAAAAAGCGCTCCCCTGACTTCAGTATATGTCTCATACTTTCACTTCTATAATAGGTACACATACATAACTTTCAGCATTTCTTCGCATTACTTGAGGCAACCTACCTGGGAAGTTTGAATGATGCTGTTGTTGAACCTTTTTAGTTATGACCTTTCAAAGCTGGAATATTGTTGATTTCATATGACACCTTCGATATTGCATAATCACTTTCAGAAACCCCAAAGTAATATAATTGGAATGAATCTTCAATATTGTATCGGCATCTAATAGATTACTTTTTAACCTTTAGTTTGATGGGCCATAAGATATGGTTTGTGTGTGTTTAGTTGGATGTTTTGACATTTTCCTTTGGCGGGGTAGGGACGTAAAAATAGGTCAGGGAAAAGCCCTGGGCCAGGGGTGCATTTTGGCCTGGTAGGAAAAGAGTTAATTCTCATAAGCATTTTCACTATCATCACTGTAATTTTTATTATGATTACTGTCATTAGCATCACTACTATTATTACCATCACAAAAATTGGGGCTCAGAAGCTCGACAGGTATGAAGTTCGCCAGTCAAACCTGGAGGTCCAGAGTCATAAACCCGTCAGTGTCAGGGTTTCTTTTTTCTCCTCATGTTTTCTACACCCTCTGATCCCCACAGTAGCAAAATTCAAAAACCCATTCTTCTTGGATAAAGATGAAAAATGTTCTCTCCATGGGACGGATACAATAAAAACTGGACCATGCCTTAAAGCAATACTTTACTCACGAGACAGATACATTATAAAGTGGGTCAGACTCTAAACTAACATTAGGTGGGCTCTCACGGCCTGGAGGTTAAGGTGTTCGCCTCTAATTCAAAGGTCCCGGGTTTGAACCTGGGCCGCGCCCAAAAAAATTTTGTCTCTAAAATTGTCTCCTTTCACCTCCTTTCCTGCTCTCTAGCAATGTTCTGCCATCTGCTTTCGTCTCCACTTTCTGCCCTCACCCCCTCACCTCCTTTGCCCCCTCCTCTGGGCTCCTGACTCTTTCGGTAGCCTTTCTACTGCTTCTCCTTGGCCCCTTCTTACTGCTGTCTTTAAGCCACACCCCTGATTTTTAGTAGAAAAGATCTACATCAAGTCTTCTTGGGCAAGGGCAAAAAATGTCGATGGTCCCGTATGCAAGTGGCGCACATTATAGATCCCTTGGTGGTCTAAAATCGATAAGAGTAGGCTTCCGTCGCCACTCCGACAAATTTCAAAATTTCCAACCAACTGAAGATGTTTAATGTGTATCGCGTTCTAATACGACCTTATGCAGTTGCGAGCGCCACATAACAATAATAATAAAAAAATCTAACATTTTACTCACGGGACTGATACATTAAAAAGTGTGTCAAGCCCTGGAGTAGCATGTAGTTGCATGCTGCAGGAACTTCCAGAGGCTTCTTCTTCACCACACCACTTTTTGACTTTGATTCCAAATATCCCTTTAAAAAGTCAATGATGAAAGGATCCCAGGAGTTAAAGGTCTGAAAATAAAAATCAGTCACAGTCTAGGGGAGAAAAGTCACAAGACATTTTCCAATATTCATAAAAATATTGCCTATAAGAGCCTCTAAGAGCGCATCATTGTTTTGCTTTGACAAATAGTTTTAAGACAAAAAAGTGCAAAACATGCTCGCCTCCATCACTTAATTTTGCCAAAGCATTATGCAATGATAGCCTTTTTTTCTCTCTCTCAAAACTACGGAAAAAAAAACAACTTACACCCATATCATGGAGAAAAACTCACCAGTATTTTTGCTATCACAAAAACTTGTCCTTTTACAAAATCATAAAAGGCAAGTCTGGCTCTGAGGCAACAACATGCCCAGTATCCTAATCCTTTCTTAGTTCTTACAGGAAAACAATATCAACCTACGTGAGATAAGCAAAGCACATTCTCTTCTTTTTTTTTTTTTTTTTTTTGGTTTGTTCACAATAATTTATCTTAAATATGTAGTCTTTCTTCAACAGATACACTTTTCCTATACTTCCTAAGTGAGTAGTATTGGTCTGGCAATTTTGAGAAAAATATGGCACAAATCATACTCTTCTCAATATGAGCATGCTAGAACTTTGCACATTTTAACACCAAAATTTAATATATGTTTTGCTTAGTAGAGTAACTATAAAACAAATTTTAAAAACTGTCTTACCTTTTTCAACGCTTCAAACACTACAGTGATTTGCACTGGAAACATTTCTTTCAGCAGGTGTTTTGGTTTTGAAGGCTTTTCACCGAGGAATAAATTTGAATTTTGTCGAACAAGCACACACGAAGAGTGATCTACTGCTTCAACAAAGTCATCCACATTTTTCAAGTCCCTATTCACATCAGAAGTGGTTTTTAAAGCTAGTAATTGACCCCTGGAGAGAAAGAGAGAAAGACAAAACATCACTCAAAAAAATTATTTTCATTTTAAAATTTGATACACGAAAAGAAAATCATATTTGATCATTAAAATGGAAGCTCCAAACAATGGTCCTAGGTTCTATTTTTCTCAAGGTTTTCTCCAGGATATTGTAAATCTACCATTTTCAAATTGAAATTGTTTTTTAAGATGACACAGCAAAGAAGCTCTATCTTAATGTCCGAGTCATTTGCTAAACGAAATTATTATGATAAAGCTATGTGATGTCTTTTTTGCATCAGCCGAGAAGAAATTTCTGGCGGTAGGTTATTTTTAATCACCTAGTTTGACAGGGCTGCTCACCCATCAGTGTGGTTTTGCAATCAACAAGTTATTGCCAGTGCGCTTGACTCTTGAAAAAAAAACAATAGAAACCAAACGGATGCATCGCAAGCCTTTAAGAGATAAGATAAGATAAGATACATCTTTAGTGTCCAGATCCTGGCATATTGGTTAGGTGCTTCACCACACACACACACACACACACACACACACACACACACACACACACACACACATATACACACACACACAAACATACACACACACACAAGCACAAACAATGTGAAAAAAATTCAGAATCTACTCCTGCCTTCAACCATGGTGTCACACTCACTTCATCGGCATCCATAGTGCAACGGTTAGGCTCTTTGCAGTTGCATGTGAAAGACATGAATTGGATTCTAATGTGGAAAAATCAGTTCATCGAGTCTCTCTACCTGTCCTCTGAAAAGTTGTATCCCACTCAACAAAGTTTGGTTTCAACAGGCAAGTGCGAGGAAACCCACTTCCTACATGATTTGAACCTCGTTGATGAAACTGTAAAACATTTGCAAATTACAATTATTACAATTATTACAACACTCACTTCTTGGTGTTAAAAAAGTTTGCGCATTTGTCCTTATTATTAGAGCTTTCTGTACTGAGGCTCACTATCTCACACATCAACATCAGATACACGTTGGACATTCTGCAGATGGTGGACAAAAGAGCCTGGTTCAAGTTGTCCAGACGGTGTTTGTTCCTGAAGTCGGTCAAGGCTGTGTGCAACAGGCCCCCAATATTCTCCTGAGTGATTTCAGAAAGAAAAAATTTGTTGTTTTAGTAGAGGTTTTATGGCGTTCACAACGGCATAAGGTCATAGGAGCGCCAAGGGGTGGATGTCAACAGAGGAGTCCTTACAGACTTACTCTGCTCACCTCTCTAGCTTCAACAGCACAAAGTCTGCTTCTACTATAAAGGCACAAGAGTGTGGCAAACATACAAAAGAAGTAGAGGAAAATGACGATAGTAAGGAATAGGAAAGAAAAAGCAGTTGTAGTTCAGGCACAATTATGAACATGACATTGTTGGATCAGTCCGTTTACGATTTTACTGTGCATTAAAACTAGAAATGTCCCCCCTTTGGGAATGGCCTAAAGACACTTCAGTCAGTGGCACCGACCTGGGGGTAGAAGAAATTTGTAATCTAGACACTGACAAGAAGTTCTGACTTATCAAGGTATGACAAACAGTGTGCACAAACGGAAAAATTTTCAAGAAACCAGTCAGTCTCCAGGTAAAATAATAATGCCATTGACACATTTTGAGTAGAAAAATCAGTGGGGTGCAGGTAAGGAAAAAAAAAGTTTTCTTCAAACATTATCTAAACAAAAAACCTGTGTGACAAAATTCTTTGATTATGTTATGAACCACATGCAAAATTTGAGTAATGCCAGCAGTTACAAGTGAAATTATTTCCATTTACGATAAGAAATAACACTGGAAAGAAAACAAAGAAATGCAGAACAAAAACAAAAAGTAACTCAAAATGTTCTATCTGTAGTGATTTCTTAGCTTTGTAATTTATGTTAACAAAGTAGACATAAACAGAGAAAATCAGCATTTAGCAAGTTTTTGGAGGGTCGATTTTCAAGTTACTTTCACTGGCACTATCCCCTTTGATATTTTGTATTTCACGGTTCAATACTTTTTTCCCAAGCCATCCACCTTACAGTACAACCTAACTCCTTATATGGAAAGTTTACAAGGCTTCAAAATATCTCCTTCAGATTTCAGGAACATTACCTTTCACTAGCTCATCCCTCTCAAAAACATCTATATCTTAGCTAAAGATTATGTTGTACTCCAATCCATCAACCCCCCCCCCCTCCCACCCCACAAATCCCAACCTCCCCCCGCCTCACAGCCCCTTCCTCGTCGTATGCCCTAAACCATGTCCCTAAATTTTTTTCAAACACTTCGCACTTCCAACCCAACTCCAAATTATTCCATTAGAAAAGTCTTTGAAAAAAAAAAAAAGCCAGTGTGGTTAATAATAATATTAGGTACCAGAAACTAACTTTGCAAAATAGCTGTATGCCAAATCTATCTGTTCCATATATGAAAGGCCTATATTATCTCCTGAGAATTTTAGTACCCTTCTTAAACTTCACAGTCAATGTTTTTTTTTCAAATGGTAGCTGTTTAAAATTTGATCAAATTTGTTAAAGTCACTCACTGGCTGCAACCCCATGTTTGACAGATAATAAAAGAGTACCAAGTGAACCAAACATCTCTTCATCAACAGAGAACAATCACTACGACATAAATATGGAGGCAAATTTTTCTCAAGACTGTAAGATCATTACAAATCAGTACTTTATCGCCTCAAACACAATGATCTGTCGTTATTTCGACAAAATCACCGAGCATTGACCTGGCCACCGCCCCACCGCCCCCCCCCCCCCCCCCCCCGCCCCCCTGGAGTGAGCGAGTCGGCTCTAAGTCTATACTGTAGTGTACTGAATGCTTTCCGAGTTTCGCGGAAGGATTGATGAAAAATAATTCCAAGGCGATTACCTTATTCTGATAGAAAAAAGAACTGATCTTTCTATTGGTACCAATGAAAAGACGGCATTTAATCATCAATCTTTCTGTGAAGGATTTGAACGCACGCGTGTCAATTTTTGAACCGGCCGACCACGCATTCCGATCGCATGGGGCTTTGTTTTCCACTGCGATTCTCCAGCTCCTAAAAATCGGACATATAAACCACTTACACCATTGAAACGAGGAAAAGCTGAACTTTTACATGGAGTACAGCATTTGATGTTATATAGCAAAAGAGCAAAGAAACAGTGATTTGAATTACCCCGATTTCATCGATACCACACGTTCGAAGGCCGCAAGTGCCCGCGAGGCCGTGTTTATGCTACCTAATAATATTCAAACCCTCCCTTCCCCATCCCCCCCTCCTTCCCAACAATCCTTTCTTTCGTGGGAAAAGACATTCGGCCCAGCCTAAGAGCCCATGCCTGGTAAATGCTTCTTGCTCCTGCAAATTACTCATTCGCCCTTCAAAACCAGCCACCTACTAGATCATCAAAGTTGAGCATCCGCTCCCCACTTCTGATGTATTGAAGAAATGCCATCTCCAGGAGGGTGAGAGCTCTATCTCTCAGAACATGCACCTCACAAGTAGCTATGCATGCCAGTCCCATTAGATTATGCTGGGAGTACATTGTAGGAAGGACCTGTAAAAAAAATAAAAGTAATTTCACACAACAGTTCACGTTATACATGGGTGTGGATGTGCATGTTTGAGTGGGCATTGGTGTAGGTATGGGTATGGATGTGGGAGTGAAACTTTGTGTCTGTGAGTGTGTGTGAGTGTGTGTGTGTGTGAGTGTGTGTACATGTGTGTGTGTGTGTGTGTGTGTGTGTGTGTGTGTGCGTGTGTGACACACACAGAGAGAGAGAGAGAGAGAGAGAGAGAGAGAGAGAGAGAGAGAGAGAGAGAAAGAGAGAGAATGATACATCCCAAGCTTCTATAGAACCCTGTTTATTTCCTGAAAGAACCAACTCCCACATTTGGTCGAGCAAGAGAATACCTGGTGCATGATGTACTTGGTGGTCATGATGGCTGTCAAGCTGTTTTTGTTCTCATCAATCTTTGTTCTCATCTGCAGGTAATCCTCGGGGTTGGCATCTGGAAAACAGGTAACAGGACCCCAGAAGAACAGATTACATCACCAACAACACAACGATCCAAACAGAAGAAAAATTTGTCGACAAACAAGATTTAAACTTTCCTGCATAACAGCATCAAATTTACAAATTTCTTACATTTGTGAATAAACTCTAAAATCTGTTTCTCACAGACCAGTCACATCACACTATCTTACGATTTGACTTCACAACAACTGATTAAATATGACTGTTTTCATTTGAATTTAAAATGAACAGAAAACTTGACGATTTTGTAATAGAATATAATATGGATCGAGTAGAATTAGAATACACGTATAAAATCATCCTCTCCTTTCACTATTCCCTTCTTCTTGTTAGCGTTCCCCCTGCTAAATCTCAGTAGAAGGTAGAAGTAAACCGGCAGAGAACCTGAATTTTTACACATATTTATGTGACCATTTTTTTTTTTCCTACTTCTAAGGACCCCTTGCTTTCAGGCAGCCACAATCTGATTTCAGAGGTACTCCAATGTTTAAAAGAAACTGACTTGAGTATTTTCAGTTTTCAATTAAAATAATTTTGAATTTAGCTCATGTGTCATCTGAAGCCTACTCTTATCGATTTTAAGACCACCAAGGGATCTTCCACATGTGCCACTTGCACACGAGAACACCTAGATTGTTTATCCTTATCCGAGAAGGTAAGATATTTGATCTTACCGACCCTAATATCAGGGGTGTGGCTGCAAGACTGCAGCGAGAAACCAGGAGTTGCTGCAGAAATAGTCAGAAGTAAGTAGTAAGGGAGAGAGGTGCACAGAGGAGGCCAGAAGGAGGACAAAAGAAAACAGTTTAGAGAAGAAACTTTTTTTTAAAAACTGGTCGGCTTTGATTCCAAGACCTGACTCAGATACAAACATAATACTTCTAGACCACGAGAGGCCCACACTTATTATTTGTCCATTTCTCAATACACAGCTAGCAAAGTACAAACAATTTTAAACACAAAAGGTGGCGGAATGAAAAAGTCATTTCTATCCTTACAAGAGAACTCTTCGTGGCCCGAGAGCTCCAAGCATGACTTCCTAACAAACATTTGCGGTAGATTCTTTTCCCCGAATACATCAGTGTAGGCCTCAAATATATCCGCCTCCTTTGTATCTTCCTCAGGGCAATCTGCCTTTCCCTGTCTTATCCCAGAAAAAGACACCTGGTGAAAATACAGGGTAAGAGATGAAGAGACAGAAAGAGGAATAACAGTTAACAAAAAGCATCAATTGTGCTATGGCATACATACACAAATGACTTGGCTTAACTTATTCTCTACATAATTCTATAACCCTCCTGGTCATCATTTTTTCCACGGACAGGCACATGTTTAGCAAATATATTTAGTTTCGTCCACTGATTTATCTATTTGTAGAGCAAAGTACTACATCAAATGAAAGGAAATTTAAGGGAGTATTTTAAAAAACTGAATATTTTCGGATCAGAACCTGAATATCATTTCAGAGAGCTTGGAGTGGAATAGTTTGAGCATATAATATATAGAGGCACACAGTCAAGCTGAAGAATGACATCGTAATGGTGAGGAAAATGGAGATCCACAGTCAGTCAGCTTGTCATAGTGCATGAGTTAAGACAATGTGGAAATGCAACATCTATTGAAACATAAAGATCACATCAGTTCTCCATTCTTTCCTTTTCCATATGATCAGGAATTTTACTTTAAATAACATCACTATATTACAATAATATGGGGGGGGGGGGGAAACCAAGTCTTCCAAGGGAGCATAATATAGTGCAAGCAGCCATTTTATAGATGCAAAAGCACCGACATACTAACAATATTTTTCACTGTCTATGTAGGGTAACCATTCACACCTGAGTGAAATGAGAAAAATGCGTGTAAAGAGCTTTTCCCAAGGACACAACATCAGGCCCGAGGCTCAAGCCCCCAAACCCACAACCTCACAATTACAAGCCCAGTAGCATAATCTCTGGACTACCGATGCCACTTCTAACACCAAGTGATGACACATCTCAACTTCTATAATTCAAAAGAGATGGGTATATTTTTTATCAAAATCAAAGCAAATATCCAGGCTTCAACTAATCTACTTTAAGAATATATTAATAACTTCATATACCAAAAAAAAAATAGAGTGCCTAATTCCACCATGTCATGACATAAATATGTCTGCCAGTCATGGACCATTTTCATAAGCATATTATTAATCCATTTCCAAAGGAATGTTTTCACAGATTTCATCAAACTTATTATCTGAGGCATGTCCTACCTCAGGTACAACTTGAGCAGTCAACACTGGAGTAGACGACTCTTTGACAGGGGCCTGTCTTTGTGGTGCTGACCTCAATGGACTTGGCACACTACTGCTCTCAGTTACAAAAGATGGTAATTGTTCCTCAGTTGTGCTGGTTGGCTCTTCTTCGCGATACCCTTCAAGGTCTTCATACACGCGAATTCCAAATTCATTCAGATCTTCCTCATCTATAACATCACATGTCATACGCTGATCAAAAAAGTCATTGAATAACTTTCTTTCTTCTTCAGAGGTTGTTTCCGGATCCATTTCCAACATTGGGTCATGAATTTCAACTGTTCTTACCTTCATTTCCTCAGAAAAAACTGATTCAAAAGACTTTATCTGAAACAAAGGAGACAAAAGGGCAATCATTTTACTCCAAACATGTTCAGTATCAGAACTTTTTAAAACTCTATCCCATATATAAAAGTGGGCCCTAAAGGCCTGGTTTTATTTCTACACTTAGAAAATCTTATCTGTAAAAGGCTTTTCTTGAAGTCCCACATTCTCAACAAATCCTTTCTACTAGCTGGTCAATTTAGCATTTCAAAATCAAGCATATGGAGGAAAAGACGGGCTCTGGTCTTTATCAGGAAAGCCATATATATTCAGAAGAGAAATTCACGAACATTGCAGTTGTTAAAGATAATACAATCTCTGACTGAGGCAGGGTATTTCTGGAGTTCTGGAAGAGTGAAATGTAGAAGTGCAGAGCCAAAATGTCTTAGCAACCACTTCTTACAAAGCCAAAAGAACAAATGTGAGGAAACGGGGTAAAATCAGGTGCTCATCAAATACTGAAATCAAAGAAAAAGGCATTTTTTCACCAGTTTGGCAATTTTTATAGAAATTTAGTTTTTTGGCTAATCACCTTTTATTTTCATATGAAAACACATTTTCAGGTGAATTTTACAGAAAAACCTAGTTTAAAGGCACAAAATATGTCATTTTGAGTTCTCAAGGACTTCGCGGCCATTTTCTCATTAATTTAACCACTGAAACCAGGTACCCCACCTTCTTTAATTGCAAATATCTCACCTTCTATTCAAGCTAGATGGATATATTATTCATTTAAAGAAAGGCAAATTAATAAGCTTTCAGATGGTATCAATAACTCCGCATGCCCAAAAATTGACGAGCGCCCAACTCCAAGAGGTGTATTTGAATGTGGATACTTAATAATAATAATGAATAGCATTTATACAGCGCGTTTCCATTTTCTTAAAGATGCTCAATGCGCATTACAACGAAAAAGACATCACGTCTTAAAAATTAATCGACAAGTGCGTACATAAAACAACGTATTATACATATAATATAAATGCATATGTGTAAAATTTTATATGAGAAAAATAGTCTCGCAGTGAGGTTGAAAATGTGTTCACTAAAAAAAATTACGATCGAGAAGAAACTTTTTTTTAAAAACTGGTCGGCTTTGATTCCAAGACCCGAAAGGATTGATGAAAAATAATTCCAAGGCGATTACCTTATTCTGATAGAAAAAAGAACTGATCTTTCTATTGGTACCAATGAAAAGACGGCATTTAATCATCAATCTTTCTGTGAAGGATTTGAACGCACGCGTGTCAATTTTTGAACCGGCCGACCACGCATTCCGATCGCATGGGGCTTTGTTTTCCACTGCGATTCTCCAGCTCCTAAAAATCGGACATATAAACCACTTACACCATTGAAACGAGGAAAAGCTGAACTTTTACATGGAGTACAGCATTTGATGTTATATAGCAAAAGAGCAAAGAAACAGTGATTTGAATTACCCCGATTTCATCGATACCACACGTTCGAAGGCCGCAAGTGCCCGCGAGGCCGTGTTTATGCTACCTAATAATATTCAAACCCTCCCTTCCCCATCCCCCCCTCCTTCCCAACAATCCTTTCTTTCGTGGGAAAAGACATTCGGCCCAGCCTAAGAGCCCATGCCTGGTAAATGCTTCTTGCTCCTGCAAATTACTCATTCGCCCTTCAAAACCAGCCACCTACTAGATCATCAAAGTTGAGCATCCGCTCCCCACTTCTGATGTATTGAAGAAATGCCATCTCCAGGAGGGTGAGAGCTCTATCTCTCAGAACATGCACCTCACAAGTAGCTATGCATGCCAGTCCCATTAGATTATGCTGGGAGTACATTGTAGGAAGGACCTGTAAAAAAAATAAAAGTAATTTCACACAACAGTTCACGTTATACATGGGTGTGGATGTGCATGTTTGAGTGGGCATTGGTGTAGGTATGGGTATGGATGTGGGAGTGAAACTTTGTGTCTGTGAGTGTGTGTGAGTGTGTGTGTGTGTGTGTGTGTGTACATGTGTGTGTGTGTGTGTGTGTGTGTGTGTGTGTGTGCGTGTGT